GGGCAATGATGTTTAATGCATAGCGTTGAAGGAAATGAGAAATTGGATAGAGCATAAGCTGATTTTGTTGACAAGTATATCTGAATGGCCGATCTCTCGATCCTCCAGGCATCAAAACTAAATCCACTCGACTCTGGCGGTAATCTTGTGAACTTCAACAGCTGCGGCTTGTAAGGGCGGAGGGTAAGAACCGCTTGTTATTTCTGACACGGAACCAACTAACAGCGGTAGCTACTTCGTAAAAATTGTTTTGTCACGATGACATTCAGCAACTTCAACCGCTCGGTTGCTGAGAACAGATGAGCGTCTGCCCATTTACTGGAATGTCACTATTTTCGACAAAGAGTGTAAGCCAATTTCTCGTTTTAGGAAAGGAATCATTTTCTAGAAAATAGGTCGAGGATAACAACGCTACATATTTACTCCCCTGTGGCTACGTCTTCTCTGCGTGGTGTTTAATTAAGAGAAGAGAAAGAACCAAACTTTTAAGTTAAAATTTCGTTTCACAAAAATTACTTTCTCGTTAATTTCATGGCAATAATAAAACACAGACACGTAGTCGTAGGCTTTATTCGTGTATTTAATATAATTATGAGTAGTTCTCTTAAAGCGAACAGTGGAAACTGAATAAAGTTTACACACATTGAAAAGCATAGATTGTAGGGGAGAGGAAGAGATGCTATTCGAAATTGACGGGCGACGTTTCGTCACTAGGAAAGTTGAGGACTCAGCGTTCTATATATTCGAAATGCCGTGTATTCAATGTAGTTAAAATTCATACGCGTACTGAGAAATATATATTAACTGTTGTATTCTTTAATAAAGCATTTCGTTAATCAAACGTTCGATAAACGCGTATTCACTTCTACACTCCAATTTAAATGTGATCCTAATCGAAGTTTCGACGACGAACTCTACACACAGTCACAGTAAATTCTTTACAGATTTTTAGTCGGCAAAAAATCTCCCCTTTCAAAACTAGATCTTCTTTAATTTCTGTGGTTAGGACTAGAATTAACCACTGCGAATTTAGGTACAGTTTCGTAAGTCATTGAGGGTTATTGCAATGTTTCTGAAATTTCAAAATAAATGCGCGAACTTTCATGGTATGATAAAAACACACACAGGAATCTGATGTGGCGATATTTGAAAGCAGGGTTAAAAGGCTACCAGCAGCTGCCAGTTTATTCAACTTCGTATTATTAAAAAAATGTAATTGGGCCAAAAAATTGAGTCATATGGAACATAGCGCCACCTGCATGGCAAGCCCGGCATTAGAGGTAAGGAAGATTTATAGCAAATACAGAACACAGCATGCCACATATAATCTCAAAAGACGCTGTGTTCACGAAGCAGAAACACGCAGTTTTTAAAAGTTAACTGACAGCCACCTGCATACAACACTGTAATTAAATTAAACCATCGATGTTAATTAGGCCAAAAAATAATTACTTTCCTGTCAACTTTAATAATAATTCACGACATTTTCAGAGGCCTATACTCACAAACTACGGCGCTAAAATTCCCAAACTCATGAAAACAATATTAAGATTCGTTACAATATTCACATCGATATAAATTTGGGCCTTAAATTCATAATGAAAATGTAAGAAGTCGATATATTATAGTTGGATAAGATAACTAATTAATGTTCATATACAGCACATTAATTCAGCATCTGGGATTATTACAGTCATTAATTACCTAGTTAAGTCAAAACAGGCAAACATGTATGCAATATGCAGATTATATGAAAACTAATGATATAAGAGCTCATAAGGTTGAAAATAATTCTAACATAGGGTAAAGCTAAACGTTTCTCCACTGCTACAGTTGAGCACCGGAAATTCCCCACATCACTGCCTCTTCTGCTTATTGAAATTCTAGACTCAGGGCCTTCACTTGCCACACATTCAAAAAATAACCCATGGACCACAGTCGCTTACGTATTCAAGACATTATCCACCTTTTATGGAAAGCGAAGGTTCGATATCAATTTCACAACACAGCATCTCGGGTCCCTTTTCTCAGCCAAATGAATGTACATAACATGTTTCCAAAATATTCATTTTAATATTATCCTCTTATTTTCGTCTACTTTATACACTTTTTTCCCGTGTTTCAACCAGAAACCATTGGCTGACTACGTGGTTGTCGGACTGATTATTTTTGATATTTTTAAATAGCTGACTAATTCTTATACGGCTTGTTTTATTTTCATTACCGTTTTCATATAAACCCGCACTGGGCCCTATCCTGGAACAGTGAAATTTAATCCGCATCCTATAGTTTCAATAAAACCATCCCATCTACGTCTAGGCTTTCTCAAGTGGTCTGCTCCTTCACAGTTTTCGAACAAAACTCCTTTATGCTTATCTCATTTTCCTCCCGTTAAGCAGTGCTAAGCTTTAATTAGCTAACACTCTAATGCAGCATGTGTACAGTTATGAAGTTTAATCATGTAAGTCTTTCATTGCACCACAATTTTAACTACAAAATTGTGTCGTAGAAGTTCAGTAAGTGCCTCAAATAATTCTAACTACCAGTCGTTACTTAATACGCAGATATTCGTTATGTCAGTATTAACCTGTTAAAGTCGAAGGTCGGTCTTCTAAATTATTATTTTATTTAGTGTTCTGTCTGACGACAGGTCCATATGAACAGGATCCTTCCATCCTTTTCTCGGACTGGGACCTGTTCATATACGTTCTTGGCAGATGATCCAGAAGTGGTTTGCCATTGCCTTCTTCTGTGTGTGAATGGAGTAATTGTTGGGATGCCACGGAGAAACCGGGGAAGCCCCCGGAGGAAAACTCCGTGTTGCCTAGACCACGGCCTTGCCCAACACAAGTTATAAATTCGGGCACCGCCGGGAATCGAACCCGAGACCCCAGGATTACAAGGCCAGCGTTCTAACCGCTAGACCACCGTGGCACGATCTTCTAAATAGTATTTAAAAATTCAGTCCATATCTAAAAGAAAACATTTACCATTACAAAGATCAAATTGTTAACGATATTTATGTAAATAAACCTCTTTACGCTTAGAAACATAAACACATAAATAAAAAATAAAAGAGAATCTCCGATTTCTTAAGGTGGGTAATATATTTCGTTACCGCTAGACTTTAAAGGGTTAACACATGCGTACAACTGGCCACAAACGGCATACTTTTTAAGTTACTTCCGTTTATCTGTAAAGAATGTGTAATGAAACACAGTTGATACTTCATTAAACTTCTGTCTGTCTGTCTGTCCAATCTGCAGATTTTTGCTATATGTGTAACCAGCTTTGGAAACGTTTTATGAACGCTTTTCAATTTCATGTCTTCCCACTGGTAAACTGCTGTCACCGGAGTAGTTACTCATAATTAACACTGGGGCGCCCTTCGGAACGAACAGTCAGCTGAGTGCAGCGGATAAAGCAGTTCAACGGCATCTCTTTCCGAAACTGAAATCCTTCAAAACTAAAATTCGTGGCATAACTGATTAGCTGATTAACTACCTAACTGATTCCATGAAGGAGAGTCCTCGAGAATACGATAGTACATTAATTCATTAAATTTCCCATCGTTTATGAACTACGAAGGTTCACTGCCGTTTTCACAACAGCACGCTAAAGACCCCTACCCGAGCCTCGTCACACCCTTCCATTCCGTTACATTAAGATTAATTCTTAAATTATTCTTCCACCTACGTTATGGCTTTCCGATGGGTCTCTTTGCTTCAGGGTCCCCAACCAAAATTCTCTACACATTTCTTATCTGCCCATGCATGCTGTAGGCTCTGCCCACCTCAACCTCCTTGATTTGATCATATTAGTAATATTTGGAGAACAGAATAAATAATCTCTTCATTACGAAATATTCCCCAGTCTCCTGTCATTAAATCCAAATCATCTCCTCAGCAGTCTGTTTTCAAACGCCCTCATTGCACTTCCTTCCTTTAATGCGAGATAGTAAGTTTCATACCCACGAAAAATATGTAAAATTTTAGTTTTGATGAGACTAATGTTCTCACGAATATGATGATAGAGGCAGCAAGCACCTCTGAAACGTCCGTAAACATCCACCAGCCTATACGGCGTAACATCCAGAATTTATAACTTGTGTTGGGCAAGGCCGTGGTCTAGGCAACACGGAGTTTTCCTCCGGGGGCTTCCCCGGTTTCTCCGTGGCATCCCAACAATTACTCCATTCACACACAGAAGAAGGCAATGGCAAACCACTTCTGGACCATCTGCCAATAACGTATATGAACAGGTCCCAGTCCGAGAAAAGGATGGAAGGATCCTGTTCATATGGACCTGTCGTCAGACAGAACACTGAATAAAATAAAATATATTAGTCTTTACTTTTATAGATATATGAAGGAAGAAAATATATCCTGAGCTGCATACTAACAAACATTCCGCGAATTTAGCATGTTCGTAATTTGAATAAATAAAACGAGTGTTTTAATTTTACTTTCAAGAATGTCTTCATTCGTTCTTGTTGTCAGAAACTCTTATCCTTTATAATGACAAATAGCACCCAAGTACTTTCTCTCTCTTAATAAAGCTTACGAAATTATTACACATGTCAAACTGAATGAGACACTACTAATTGAAGAAAATAACCAATTACGAAACTGCGAGGGACTGCCGAAGTGAAACAGAGGGCTGAAGTTTGCAGCGTCTGACGCACTACATGAAAAACCTGGTATCATTACTGGCGCATCTACCCTGGAAAGAGTCCAGCAGACAGCGTCATTATTCTTAATAATCACTGCCGTTTCATCACGTGGAGACGTGAATTCGTAATTTTAAAGCATATGTAATAAAGAATAATCACGGATCTACAGAGTTCATAAACTTGGTTTTGAAGTATTTTTATTCGCCGACTGTTGATCCACTGAAATTCGCATTGCAGTATTATACAAGTGGTCTATTGTCTATTTTATTGGTCTGTTGATTATTTGCTGTTATGAGGTTTTCAGCCTAATGGGATAGATCAATTGTATTATGCTCTTTATTTAAGCAAAAACAAGCAATGATTTTAATTTATCATAAACAATACTTAATTTAAATTTTATGTCGTACTTAGTGAAAACAATGCAATAAAACAAAAGACTTCAATCATCCATAGACTGGTATTTACAGTGCCCAAATTTCTACAAAACGCAGCAGAACAATGTCCAAATATTAACGCCTCGCAGCTTCCGTCATTAAACCGAAATAAGTAATGGTTTTAATTCGTATATATTGTTTTGTTACACCTTCCAATAGACATGCGCTTCTAAGTACTACATTACTTTGTCAGATTTTAGATCTAACATAGCGACAAATGAGATGGTAAGATAATCATGAGTGGTCGGTAGGTAAGGATTTGGAAGGATCTGAAGTGTATCTCATGATACTATCCCAAAATTCATCAGTATATTCTGAGGAAGACCAACTAAATTTTAGTGACAACAGACGATGCTGACAAACAGAATGGACACTTTCCTCCAGAATATGTCGCACGGTATTGCAACTCGTCACAACATATGACTCCTTACACGCCTAGCACCACGACAATAATATCTTGAGATCAATCTTGTGACTTAATAGGCCTGTACCAGGGTAACAAACGTAACGACGAACCCACGCCTCGTTCAGTGACTGACGTCCTTAGCACATGGAAGCCGTATCTGCTTGCATTCATTCGAAACCACGGCACATCTAATTTAAAATTAGATTTATTTACTATTCGCTCTCAAGGAAAATTGGTTTAATTATAGGCATATCAAGTCTGTGGGGGTGTGTGACGATCTTGTGAACCAAACGAAAACTTTCTTAAGAATATCTTTGAACACTTTCTTTTATATATACATTTGAAAATCTTGCTATGTAACTCCATGGAGCAGAGTCCTTCTTGCGAAGCGAAAGGTCGCTCAACTAATCAAGAAATTCTTAGCATCTTATAGAATCCGAACGATCACAACAGTCCGCCACTGATCTCTATTCTGAACCAGACAGATGCAATCCTCAACCACAAGATCAATTTTAATATTATACTCCCGTCAATACCTAAATATTCCAAGAGATGTCTTCTCATAAGATTTTCGGACTAAAGTTAAGATGATGGGAGTATTGAAGATTAATGTCTTAGAATTTCTGCTATACGAAGAGCTACGCGTATTACTGCAGTGCTGTTTTCCATATAACTTATTTTTACTGAATTGACAGGCTTTCAGTCGGAAGATCATGACACAGGAAGTACAATTTTTTTAAATGTCTGCTTTGAATGATTCAAATACGGTGATCATACGCATATTTTAGTAAAAATAACTGGCGAAATTCTACAAAGAATATTTAAAATATTTTATGTATGACAAGAAGCCTCACAAAACAACAACTTCACTCCAGAATTTACAGTATCAGTTCCTGTAATGGTACATGGAAACGACTGCAATTAAACAACAAAAATACTCAAGTGACGCACAAATTATAATTGTATTCTGTTGAAAAATAGTAGCTTCAGCTCCTAGGGTTCTTTGATCGTATTCCTCAAGGCACAAAATAATTCATTATACTAAGAAATGTGCACAATTTCACTTCCGGAACGGTTAAAGCTGTCGATGTTAGCAATAACATGGCGACCATGCGAAATATTTTCAAATAAATAACAGCGAATGTTTAAATGGTGCGTGTAAGGACACACTATTACGTTTTTTCGTGTTCGATTTGGAGAGATTATAAGCATTTCTGCTAACTTCCGACGCATCCTTTTGTGAGTCTGAGGATATTTCAAAGGAAAGATATGGAAACAGGACTTTATTATGTCCAGTCCGCAGGAGGTGTGCTATGACTGCAACAAGTACAGTCCTTCGCCTGCCATAAATAATAGCCGCATTACATGGAAACACGAGATCATGGTACTTCGGACAGGAGGTGTCTCTTACAAACCAGTTCGGTTGATCTTTTATCTCGATTTCAATGTAGCACCGCACATAGACCTCTTCTCAACCTGCTGTTTACAGCTGTAAAGAATTCCAGAGACAGCGTTCTATTATAAAGGTGATGTAACTTACCCTACACTACGAAATATTAACCTGTTTCAGTACGTGTTTTGACCTTTCAATATTTTTACAATCAAGTAAATCCCTAAACGAGTATTTTACTTTTAATCACAAGACATTTTTGTTTGCATAGGCCTATATTGTAAACCACAAACCTCTGATCCTAAGAAACCGTGAATAATAGGGTTTGAGGTTTTCACGGCGGTGAGTCTGAAGATGGATGTCTTTTGGGCTGTTGCACTTTGTAGTCTGGTAGAAGTTTACGGACCTTTCAGAGGTCCTTGCTGCCTCCATCATCAGGTTGATAAGCCACCAGACTACACGGCGCAACAACCCAGAAGACAACCATCTTCAAACCATGAAACTAAAAATAGGCTATACGTAGAGAGTAATGATTTATAGAACAAAGGACAGACGATGATGACATGTAAAAATAGGTGTAATAATTGCACGGAATATTTGTTTCTGTTTTACCTAATTCTCCCATTTTTAAATACGGCGTACATTTTACGAATTACAAAAAAAAAATCATTATTTTTGTCGCCAGTCAATTATAGGGCGTGTCTTAAAGGTGGACGTAACAGGAGGCTGGAGAAAATTGCATAATTAGGTGCTTAATAATTTCCACTCATCACCAAATATTATTAGTTGAAACACATCACGGAGAATGCAGAGTGATCAGAAAAGATCAGAATGCACAATCGGAAAATCAGAAGTTAGAAAACTACTCGAGAGACCTAGACGTAGAATAGGAATAATATTAAAACGAATCTTAAATAAATATGATGTGAGAGTGTTGATCTGGATTCATCTGACTGAGAACATAGTCCAGGGTGACCTTTCATGAACACAGTAACGAACTTTCGGGTCTTGCAATGGATGGGGGATTTCTTGATTACTTGACAGACTATAAGTGTCCCTATAAGGTCTCTGCTCCATGAAGGTAGTTACGCAATTGTGCCTCTATTAACGAAAGGCCGAGTCAATATTGCAATGAATGACTATTAAGAAGATTTGAGAATAGACAGTCGACTTTAAGCAATTCCTGATATCATAAGAACGAATCGCCCGCATTGTAGTGATTTTCGGTGTGCGGAGATAAAGAATATATTTTCTGCAGATGTGTATAATAATAATGACAAATTGACCCAAATACAGATGCTGTACGTATCTGAAAGTGCTCAAGTGGATATTTTGCTGGTAGCTTGTATGTGACCAATTCGAAATCCGCTCATTTTAAACACAGAAGGTTTGTTACTTTTAAAACATACACTAGACTAATAAAATTTCATTTGAAGTCTTCAGTGTACTAAAAGTAAACTGGGTGAATGACATAAATTCATTAATACCAAAAATAAAATACTTACAGTTCATATGAAAAATCTAAAAAAAAAAAACCATTGAACTGTCTCGCATCTGAGTATCTGCACTGCGTCCTAAATAATTCGTCTAGGAATTTCTGAATGGTTTCAGACAGATGATGGATGGCAAAGCAGTTCCCTACAACATAAACTCTGCCCCAGAGAAAGACAGAGGCTCTGCTGCCCCCTATTACTGCATTCTAGCCTCTTAACTGCACTTGTGTGGACACACTCATAAAAACGGACCTTTATATCAGTATTTCAAAACGATTACTAAACCTTGGTTCCTTAATCACGGTAGGCGAGCTCCCACAAAAAAAGAAGACAAAAGTGCGGAGCGGAAATTTGAATATAAGAGTAGATGTTGAATCAACAACATACAAAAAAATGTAACGACCCCACACGCATCTGACCATCGCTTATGATCATCTAAATAGGGTTTGCCGCTATTCTTTGTCGAAACATGCATTGCAGAGGCGACCTTTGTACGATCCTCGCATGGCACACTGGGTCCCGTCCATTCTCATTGTACACACACATCGCTTGGTCCAGCTGTACGTGTATCTTACCTGGAAACATACAAACGGAAGGACGAAATTAAAGATCAGCCACGATAATTATTAGTTCGTTGATTTCGGTATATATGAGTACATAATGTAATAACGGAACAGAAAAAAGTCAGGCAGGGGTGATACCCTCAACATTCAATGCACTTTAAGAACCAGAACACTAGAGCAACAGATCTATGAGGATTGGAAAATAAACTCCATGCATTCTTAACCTTTACACAATATAAATATAAGAGGTCGGTTTTACAATTTAGGCGCTTTAGCTCCTGCTAAAGAATCCGTGGTGAAAACTGGGCGGTCCAAGAGCTGGGCTGGGTGTCATGAAGAGAAGAATCCTACCACGACCGAAAAGTGAACCCAGGTCATCTAACCTGTATCCAGTCACTTTATTAACAGAGCTTTGTGTCATAGATGGCATTTGAGTTGTTAGAGCTAAGTAGCTCACTTATCTCTTTCTATAAGGACACACTCAGTTACGCCTGTCTCGATTGATTTTAAAATACGACAGGATCTTCAACATTATTTCAGAAGATCCAGGACAACCTTTATGCTGGTTCTTAAAAACCAAAGCGAAACATAACAACAAGGAGAATAGTCCATCATAAGCTATAAGACAGTTAATATATATATATATATATATTCCATTTTATGAAGCCTGGATGTTCATACCGCGTTCACAAGAGCCTGACGCATGGTCCTTATCCTGTATAATGAGACAGACCAATTTACTCAATATTTCTAGTGTTAACAGCGTTGTTTGTAAAAAAGAATAATTAATTAAAACTTCAAATCCACTTACATATCAATCGAGAGTACATAATTATTTCTGGAACTTACTGCATAGTACGCTTACACTTATTGGGAGAAAAAGCTCTTGGAAGCAAGTAAAATTTATTCAGTTTCATACACGTATATCACGAAAAAACTGATCTTCGAAATAAAATGTTTTCCATTAATAAATTCAGTTAATTTAAGATCTTCCATAGCGAAAGAATATTACATGAAATTAGAGTCGAAATTAAACGACTTCATATTTGACGTCATGCCCGAAAGCATAATTTATGGCTGAAATTAGAATAAGGCAACGTAATGTCACTTACTGTAAGTCACGGATATCAAAAGATATTATATTCTGCATCTATGATGTGGCACCACAAAACAAGTCTCTCCGCAGAAAAGATGTCATAATTCAATGTAACAGTTTCGGAGGTTCAAGACCCGGTAAACATGTCATTCCACGGCTATCAAATAACATCGGCTTTTACATATGTACTATAATTTTAGTGAACATATGAACTTACATATTCATTCATTGATTTAATCCTTAAATAATCTTGCAACCTCCTGATTCATATGCAAATAACAAGATCCATCCATGTACAGTTGCAATTTTGAAAAAAGAATCCCAAAATATAAAATATAATCAAACATGGCACATGTATTGGTGCTGGGACTCCATCTGCACACATGTGGAGACCTTAAAGACACATCACATATGACGCTCATAGGAGACAAGACTATAACAAAATGCTCGCCCTTCTAACGTTTAAATGAATGCGTAAGTACAAAGGAGACCGACCTCCTGAGTTCTGAGAGCGGCCACAGAGAGTGGACGGCGAGGAACCACGTGTAGAGAAGAGAGAGACAGAAGAGGATACAAGGATTTTTATAATTTTTTATCATTCTATTTCTTACAACTCAGAGCTGCAACCGATGGGCTTGTACAAAGAGCTACTAACTACAGGGTCACGGCCAAATATAAAACAGAAGGCAAAGCAGGGGAGGGAGGGAAAGGGTCATATGTGGTGAACCACAGCGCATGTGTGCTACATGGGTCAGCGTTGAAAATGTTTAGTGTTAAGCACAGATGGGTAACACCATGCATAAAAATGTATGCTTATAATTTAAATATTTTTTTAATTTGTGTAAATAAAAACAATACATAATTTTATGGCATGACTGAAACCACAACACTGTTAAATTATATGCCCAGGAAACCACAACAGCAACGGATGTTAATATCTGGGTTTACATGCCAGCCCATTGACGTATTATTCCAAAAAGAGTCATTCTTTCTAAATCATTCTTTACGTGAAACTGTTCTGACGCAGTGTTTCATGCAGAGAATAAGTACTGGGAAGAATGTACAATAACTAGTTTTCTCGAAATGTTCCGTCTGCACAGAAAAATCTACGGAAATTACGAACTGACAACTACATAAATCGGCCATTTATCTGAAGTGAAAAATGTCCGCTAGTTTAGATTTCAATTATCTGAAACGAAGAAAACGTAAACTCACAGGTTTCATCCTCAATATCCTATAATAAAATAATTATATATGATATTTGTAGTTATGTAAGATATTAAATATACGCTATTTCGGTAACAAATGCTCTTAAACCCTCTTGGGCAATCAATAGAGTCAAAGCAAAGATAAAAGTAACGTTTCGGCGACATGTTCTTTACCCTTCATCAGATCTAAATCATCATCATAATATTATTATTAACGATGAAAACAGTAAGCATCTGCGAAACGTCGGTCAACATCTACGCGTGTACTCTGCGCAGAATCCCGGAAGAAAATCATCTTCACACTCGCCACCGTGAGAATCTCAAATCTCACGATTCTCTAAAGGTTTGTTGCAACAGCTGATTCGTTACATAAATATTAGCCAGCACTGGACGTGGCCCATTGCCTGAAGTATATTCGATACAGATGACTTCTACGGAAATGTGCTTGATGCCTTCATCATCAGGGAGATCATCGCTAGAAGATACATCATTTACTGCAGTAAATAATACAGATGTATATGATATGAGAAAATTTACAAGAGAATAATTCTTCTATCCAGTCATTTTCAAAAGTAATTTGTCTTTCTGTTCCATCAAGGTATAATCTTTATTGTTAAAGTAATAAAGCGTTAAAGTCATCATTAGTTTAAATGATTTGGTATATCGTTAACAAAGAGTGACTGATAAATGTACAAGTATAAGCAACTGTTTGTTTCCATTAACCCTTAAAAGATGATGC